TCTAGATTTTCCCTTGACTCACAGATAGAACCAGATTAGGGAATTAGAAGCCATAGCCAGGACACTGGACCCAGTTTGGTGGTGCCTGTCTGTCCTGCTTGTGAAATTCAATCTGGAGTATGGAGTTTCCATGGCTGAGCCTTCTATCCTGCATGGGTCTCTTTGGCCTTCTCTGGCCTTTGAGGTATTTTCTTCTCTAGCCACATGTGGATAAGCTGCTTGTTAAGCAAAATGCAGTGGAACTCAAAGGAAACATCAATGGAAAATGTCTTATGGTATTGTGTTTATTTAGGTTTCAATGTCAAATTTAAATTTTATAATTTGAGCACATGGACAGTTGGAGTTCTTAGCCTCTTACCTACTTGGGCAGAGCTAAATTGATCCTTTGGGCTAAAAACAGACCATTGAATTGCTCTGTTTGCTAGTTTCTATGCCAGACAGATAATCAACAACAAATTTTCTTACTCTTGATCTTCTTTAATGAAGATAGCATATTCTTCCCAGATGTGTATACCCAGCCTTTCTTGTCTATCTTTTCCCCTCTACTCAGTGATGAGTTAGCCAATAGGCAGTTGTGGACCAAGGTAAATGCCACATCTTCATCAAAAGGTGAAGGACAGCCCATCCTGGGGGAGGGGAGGAAAAGATATCCACCATCTGCTGCATTTCTTGAGCAGGTGCTGCAGGGGCTGTCTTATTTTTTTCATGCCTGGGCCATAGCTACCCATATCACAAATGAGAAGCTCAAAGATTAAGAAGGTCCTAGCTATGGGTGCCACCCTCTGTTAGCTTGAATATCACTTTGTGCTTTCATCCTCGCTCTCCTTATACCCCCTTTTACCCAATCTCGACTTATTCACAATTACACCTTCCTACATGGAATCTAAAGGGATTGATTTGGAATCATTTTCACTGCAAATCAGTAAATTCACATGTGCTCACAATTTTTTCATATTCTATTTCAGAAGGAATGGTTTTGGTATTTTTGTGTAAGCACTCTAGTGCTTTTCCTTAATTCTTTGTTTCTTTGGTTTTGAGTTCTACATGCTTTTCCCTTCTAATTTGGCCCCATTTATTTCCTGTCCTCTTTTAACCTGTGTCTGATGCCTTTAACTTGCTGTTCATTAGAAACTTGAAGGTGACAGGGGTCTTGATTTATAGAATAAGAAATTAGATGGGACTCTCTTTTTAAAAGAGGGGCTCAAGTCAGAAACACCTTTTTTGCTATGGTCTGAAATTTTATAAATTTTATATGGCGCCTGGAGTTTAGACATTTTATATAAAGTCTGGGGTTGAGAATTAGGAATTTAAATTTATAATTGATTGTCTAAAGACTCTGGATTCCAATTTATGGAGTATGCCAAAATGGGTTGGTAGAATCAGGTGACTCACTGCACAAGCAAAGGTAACCAACCTTTAAGACTTTAGTCAAGATTGTGAAGAGTGACCACCTTAACAAACTGTATCTCCAAGTAGCTGATTAAACTTTCTGTGATGACATTGAATGATTTATATATAATATTCTAAGCAATGTAAAGAATTAAAGCCAGTGGGATTGGAAATCATGTACATAAAGCACTTTGTGGTTTGTTATTCTTATGGCAAAACATGTTTTTTCATTTAATCATCACCATACCCTTGTAAATAAGGCAATACTGTGACCTCGTCTTACACATAAAAGAACAGAGGCCAGAAAGCTTAGCTTAATTGCCTCAAAGTCACACGCAGTGACTGAGACAATCCAGGTCATCTGACTTCAGATCTCAGCCTCTTTCCATATATTTAAGTCCTTATCTTGGTGAGCAAATGTGACAAAGACAAAAAAATTAACATATGCACATTCAGAATCTTTCCATTCCTCCTGCCTTCTTAAAGAAAGTAGGTTTCTTGGATGGGCAGCTGCTTTTGTTATGTGGTATCTGATAATGAGAAGGGAGAATTGAATGATTGAGCTACATTGGTTAGGGCAGAGAGGTACTGGAGGGAGAGAAGAATATTCCAGAAAGGGAAACAGGAAGGGGATGACAGCAAATGAAGGCTGAGATTTGAGAGCTAGTTTTTGGGTGTTTGGGGGAGTGTGAGACATGAAGTTGGTAGCACGTCTGTTCTCACGAGAGAGTAGGAAGAGGATGGAGAAAGAGGGTCTTGAGAAGTTTTATTTTTATTATGAAAGGAATGCTCCCTTGGTGCCTTTTAAAGAAATTGCAGTAACAATTTCAGTTGCTTTTCAGATCTCTTTGAAGGCTAACTTGTTCTTTCTTTAGATTTAATGCTTCTCTGCAACTGGTCCAGCTTTATGTGTGTTACATGGGCTCACTAACATGTAATATGTTAATCCAAGTTTTCACTTTCTCACATGCACTTAGGCAGGGAAAGAGAGGTCAACAATGTATTGAACACAAACTCAACAACGCCAGAGAGAACTCTGAGGAATAAGCAAAGGAGAAGTTTCTGTCTTCTTGCTCAGCTCTGTTGTTGGAGGCCACACTCAGGCCTGAGTTAAAGTCTCAGGTTTGCATTATGAGACTCCTCACTTCACAGGTTCTTTTCTTCTTATACTTAGGAAATTCTTCTTGGTGCTAATCTGATCCTTCTGTAATTGAGTAATGACCATGAATATCCTTTTTATTCACAGGAAGAGAAACAGCACAGCTCTAAAGGAAGGGTTTTTTTTTTTTTTATTTGTTTCCTCATATTCTTGTATTTCAAAGCTTGTGGTAATCATGGTCTTGTGACTTGATTCCACTGTATAATAGTCTGGACAGCAGCGGTGGCCGTGGGTCATGAACTGGGTATAGAAATGTGCTGCCTTGGCTGAACCATTGATCTTGTCCCAGGAGAGAAGCCACTGAGTCTCAGCTGAGTCAAGGCTGGGAACAGGAGAATCTGGGGCCAAAGGTAGATCCTGGCATATGACTTATCTGAACATCTGGGGACTTTATGTTTGATTTTGTTGAGATTTGACACTTTATCTGCAAACTTCAGGCTATTAGTTCAGGGAAAGGAAGCTGATTATTCATTAATTTTATACCAATGTTCAGAATAGACTAACAGATCAAGAGCCTGTAGTTTGAATAGGAGTGGAAGCAAGTACTTTTCTTTCTGTCCCTTGAGCTACCCCCTATGACAACACGAAGTAACTAGGCTTGCAAAATCAAGTACATTATTCATTCCAAAATACTGGCCAGTGCTTGATCAATACCATAAGTTGGGGGCATTTTTTCATAGCATTTCCTCTGGTTGCCTGCTTACTTGCAACTTCATTTTCCTTAAGATAACTACTTCGAAAGGGACTGCTGTCATTCGGATGAACAAACCTTGGTATGTGAGTTTTTAAAAAGTCATCCACATTATTTTATTGTTTCACCTTGCAGGTGTTCATTTTTGTCTTAAATAGACCTCTCTGGGTTGTAAGCAACAGTTAAAAAGTGAAGTTATTTTAATGGAAACTGCTATAACAAAATACCATAGACCAGGTGGCTTATAAACAACAGAAATTTATTTCTCCCTGTTATGGAGGCTGGGAAGTCCAAGATCAAGGTGATGGCAGATTGGTGTCCAGTAAGGGCTTGTTTTATGGTTCACAGATGGCACCTATTTGTTGTGTCTTCACATGGCAGATCAGACCTCTTTTATAAAGGCACTAATCCTATTAATGAGGGCTCCATCCCATGACCTATTCACCTCTCCAAAGGTCCTACCTCCTAATACTATCACCTTAAAGATTAGGATTTCAACATAAACACTCAGACTATAGCCAAGTCAAACTAAAGTAAAAATGGCAATTTAATTCCTCATGTGACTGAGAAGACTATAGATATATTAGTAAGGCTTGATTGTGTCTTGAGGGTCCATCTGTCTTCACCTCTCAGCCTAGCCTCTTCCTGGTTGACTGCAATTTTGTCTATGTTGGCAAGACAGTTGCCAGCACAGACCTAAAGAGATATGAGTAACTGGAGGGGCTTAAATAATTTGGAACTAGTCTGAGAAGTCTTATGACCTTGCTATACTTTGGTTTCCTCATCTGTAAAATGAGATAATAACACTATGTCCATAGAGTATTAAGTGAATATTTAATGAGCTAGTGGAAGATGTATACCTCCACAATTAACATGAGCTTTGGAGTCATACCTGGTTCCATCACTTGCTCAGTTACTTGTGTATGAGGATACTTATAATACTTGATCATAGGTTTTTTGGGCTTTAAGATTCTAGAGTGTCTATAAAACCTCCAATAGGGTATCTGGCACATAGAGCCACTCAGTAAATGGTACCTATTAATTGAGTAGAATTTTGAGAAATGGACATTGATGGCTTGAATGTAAAGGTAAACTCAGGCATGGGGAAGGGCATGGGCAGTGATCCGTAAAGGGGGAACTTCTGGCTTGGGGCAGCGAGGTAAGCTTAGGTAGCACCCGTGGTTAGAAATGGGGCTCTTACTCTTGGTGTTAGAATTATGATAAACACACACACACCAAGAGACGGTCTGGGGAAGAGCCTGTCAGCCAAACAAGAAGTTAGCACCTTTGGAGGAGAGCTCTGGTTCCATCACAGAGGCTGTGTTTTTGGAAGGATTCTTTTTGTGGAATTTCAGTACTTAGCTTAGTGTTCATTGCACTGACTTGAATTGCCTCTGAAGTCAGAGGGAGTCTTCTTAATATTCTTGATGGTGGCAAATCTTCCACTTATGAGGTGGATTCTACAATTCAGAGCCAAACCGAATGAATTAGGTAGGGGATAAAGCCAAGTAATTCTGATTCAGATTAAAAAAGACCAAACTAGTGTGATTATTTTGTTTTCCCCTCTGGCTTAAACTGGTTTTTGAAAACAACGGTATGAGTAAGTTATATAACACTTTAAAAATCAGTGTCATAATTTTATATTTTACAGGTGGAATATATATATACACACACGCACATACACACACACACACACACACACACACACACATATATATATTTTACAGGTTTAATTCACTTTCTTTCTCTTGTATAAAAACCCTATGTTGTAGCCGCAGCTGGAGCCTGGGTCCTCTGCACAGAGACTCTGGTGTGGGTCTTGGCGAGGTGGTCGGGGAATTCTTGCTAGGGGGACTTGGTGAATACAGCCACCTTCCAGAGGTCGGGGGTCAGGTAGCTGTAGGTCTTAGAGAAGGCATCAAAGGTGGCCTTGGCAAAGTTGCTCAGGGTGGCAGTGCAGCCCCTGGCTGAGGTGTAGCAGTCATGGATACCATCCATCATGAGCAGTTTCTTGGGCATAGGCGCCGAGACGATACCAGTGCCCCTGGGTGCGCGGATGAGGCGCACCAGCACAGAGCTGCAGCGGACTGTCGCCTTGCAAGGGACGGTGTAGGGCTTGCCGATCTTGTTCCCCCAGTAACCTCTGCGCACGGGGACAATGGAGAGCTTGGCCAGGATGATGACCCTGTGGATGGCAGTGGCCACCTCCTTGGAGCACTTAACACCCAGACCGACATGACCATTATAGTCAGCGATGGCAACAAACTCCTTGAACCTGGTGCGCTGGGCCGGAGCAGGTCTGCTTCTGCACCGGCATAATCTTCAAAACCTCGTCCTTGAGAGAGGTCCCCCAGGAAAAAGTCAATGATCTCAGATTCCTTGATGGGCAGGGAGAAGAGATAGATCTCCTCCAGGGACTTGATCTTCATGTCCTTGACCAGGTGGCCCAACTTGGTGATAGGCATCCACACCTTATCCTCGGCCTTGCCTCTGCGAGCTCCGTGGCCTCGGCCCGGCCTGGTCCAGGGCAGCGACCCCGCCCCGAATGGCACTGGCGAAACCTGCAGGGAAGCCACCGTGGTTCCCCATCCCAGGGACCCCCTGCTGCATCAGTGTCACCTGCCATTTGATGTTTTCCCAGAGAAGAAGCTACATGTGGAATATATTAACTCAACAAATTGTGTGTACTTGCTAGACATTAGGCATGATAGTAAGTGCTAGGGTTACAAAGTATTGCCTTTTGGGGAACCCATGGTTGTTGGGGAGAAACCAGAAGATCAGTCATCGTAGTGCGGCAGGATCAGACTTGTGGTTTGTTCAGGTTCCGGGAGCAGTCACTGCAGTGAGAATGGGTGGGTTGGGGCACGCCGTGGTGTCTGGGAAATTTTAAAATAGAAGTGATCCTTGAGCAAGAAGTTGAAGGATGAATATGGATTTATAGAATAAGCAAGGTGTAGAGATGTGTGTGCATGTGTGTGTGTGTGTATTTCATAAAGAAAGACATGCATGTGTAAAGGCCTGGAGGCTGTTGATGTCAGCAGAATGTTCTGAGGAATGAGTAAGATGAAATAGATGAAACACTTGAGGGCATTTTTTCTCCATTAGTGGAGGCTAGGAGAGGCATTCAATGTCTAGTGTCTCACTAGGGTTAGGATTTGAAGAATCTTTTTTTTTTTTTTTTTTTTTCAGCCCAGAGGTCTTTTATTTTATTTTTCTTTTAACACCTATTATGCCATGAATTCATAGGGAATAGGTTCCAGCAGCTCAGGCTCCTTCCCACTGGTTCTCACAAAGTATGCTTCTCTGGGTGGAGCAGGCTGGCGCTTCAGTTGAACCCAGTTACCTTTCTCTTTGGCTTCTTTCTTTTTCTGATCATTTTCCTTCACGCGTTTCAGGAAGCTATCTCGGCTCTTAGAGTGCTTAATGTGCTCAATACGTACATTAATTCTCTTGGCAAGAATCTTGCCCTTAACTTGTTTGTTTACAACAATGCCAACAGCATGCTGGGTAACGTTGTAGACTCTCCCAGTTTTGCCATGGTAACACTTGTGGGGCATTCCTTTTTGAACGGTACCCATTCCCTTGATGTCTACGATATCACCTTTCTTATAGATTCACATATACGTGGCCAAAGGAACAACTCCATGTTTTCTAAAAGGCCTAGAGAACATATATCGGGTGCCTCTCCTCTTTCCCTTTGTGTTCGTCATTTTGGCAAATTACTGGAAGATGGCGGTTCCGGCCGAAAGGTGAAGAATCTTTTTAAGATGTCTGGTCTTTTTTTTTTTTCTTTTAGAGATGGGGTTTCACTATGTTGCCTAAGCAGTGGCTATTCATAGGCACAGTTATAGCACACTGTAGCCTTGAACTCCTGGACTCAAGCTATCCTCCTGCCTTGGCCTCCCAAGTAGCTAGGGCTGCAGGCACATGTGACTGTGCCTGAGTAAGATGTCCCTTCTTAAAAGTCAGCAAATAAAAGGCAGCTGAGAGAAAGCCTTTGTTCCTACCTGATCACCCGCCCAACCATCCTGTGAGGATTTTACAGATGAGGACCCTGACGTCCAGTGGGTTTAAGTAATTTCCCTAAAGTCTCTGCTAGAAAGAAGGAGAACTGGGCTTTCCATTGGAGTCTGCCTCACTCCAAAGCCCACGACAAATTATAAACATAAGTTCATCTTTATCTGATGACTCGGGACTTTGTCTCACTCCAGGACCACTCTTCTGAACGTGAGATTGTCAGGTAAAGTTTGATAGCTGGAGATGTAGCAGCAGATGCAGGGGTGTGAGCACATGGACTGGCCTTAGGCAGTGTCCAGACTAGTGGGCCTCTGACTTCAGAGTGCCTAAGCATCCTCTGAGGGACTGCTAACAGTTCAGATTCCCAAGCCCTGCTTCAGAGGGTCTGTCTTGTTATGAAGCACCTAGGGTGACTGTTGCAGATGGTACGTGGTTCATACTTAACATCACTCTTAATGAATTTCTTATATGAATTTGGTTCTCCCTCCCTCCCTCCCTCCCTTTCTTCTCTCCTGCCTTGCACTCTCTCCCTCCTTCCCTTCCTCCTTTCCTCTCTTTTTCCCTTCCTTCTTTTTGCCTTTATTTCTTTCTTGGTGTTTTACTTGTTCTCAGATTGCAGTATTGGGAAAAGTCAAAATAATTAAAGCTTCTGTCAGTTGCTTCCAGTGACTTGAGGAAATCACTCACAACTACTATTCATGCCTCAATATTCTGTGCTGTCCTGTGGACTTCCTGTGAATGTCCTCCACACAGCCTCTGCCTTTTCTTGCTCTTCTGCCCTTCACACCATCCTGGAGAGTCCTTGATGGGTGGAACATACACTCATGCCTGGTGACTCTTTTCCAGTCTCAGCTCTCAGCATTTTCACAGCCTCTGGTGAAACTTCACCCCTTGGGAACCTCCGGACCTGTGCTTTCCTAGTCGTGCTCACCTATTTGATGCTTTTATCATCTTGTGTTTCTAAAAAAGGAAATCCCTTTTTGGTTCACTTTTGATTCAGCTATCCTTATTGCAGTTGGCTTAATATCTGGGTAGAGCCGTATGGATGATCCGACCTTGTCCTAGTTAGGCAGTTTTGTCTTCTCTTCTGGGCTTTTAGTGACAAGAACCCAACCTTCTTAGCAGGCTGGAATCTTTGCACAACATCACACAAACAGGAGATTCCTGTCTGTCTTTCTGCCTTGGCCTGTCTACTTGAATTCTGAAGTCAGGCTCCATGGGTTTGAATTCTGCTTGCTGACTGTGAACTTGGGCAATTTTTTTTTTTTTTTTTGACAGTCTTTCTCTGTCACCCAGGCTGGAGTGCAGTGGCATAATCTCAGCTCATCACAACCTCTGACTCCCTGGTTCAAGAGATTCTCCTGCCTCAGCCTGCCAAGTAGCTGGGATTACAGGCACGAGCCACCATGGCAATTTTTTAAAGCTCTCTAATCTCCCATTTTCTAATCTGTAAAATGAGGATCATAATGTGGTTATGTGGTTTAAAGGAAAGGATGCTCGAAATGAGAGCATACCTGGAGTATAGTAAATGGCTATTGCAATGATTGTTATTGGCTGACTTTTTTTTGTTCCTTCACTTTCCCAATTCACATTCTATTGGTCCTACAAGGCCCAGATAGAACTGTGCCCCCTCCACAAAGCTTTTCCTGTCCACTCAAGCCAGCAAGGAACTCTGTCCCAAATTCTCATGATTGCTGATGTCTGAGGTTCATGCTTGCTTATTTCCTTTAATATTTAATGTGTTACTACTGTACTGAATGCTAATTAATTTTATTCTTTCTCCCTATTGTGGAGAAAAGTCCTTGAGTACTGAAAATAAAGACTATTTTTTTTTTCTTTTGGCCTCTCCACTATCAGTTATGTTATTAGTATTAGCCCTTCTTTCAGGTGTCAGGATTAAGGACATATAAATCAATATACTCAACATAAAGTCATTTGGGATAAATTGAGATAAATTGGCAGCATCTACACTGCAAATGGCAACATCCTGTTGTCTGACGTTCAGCCATCTTTATCCTGTTGCTCTTACTAGATGGGGAGGAAAGTCCTTATTTAAGGAGTAGCGCATTTTAGGCTTTGAGTGAGTCACTGGTAGAGAATAGGTGGAAGAAACCCGTCTCCTAAAGCTGGTGATTTGTAGCCCTGAATGAGCAGGAGAATTGCCTGAGAAACTTAAAAACAACACAGATATTAAGCCACATGGGCCAGTTAAATCCAAATCTCTGTGGTGGTTAAGACTTACTAGAAAATACTACACCTGATATAGTATTTTAAAAAAACCTTACCAGATAGTTTAATTATGCAGCCGAGGTTAAGAACTTTTCCCTGTTCTGAAGTCAGGTTCCCCGACCCCTATGCCTGATAAATGGACTTTGGTTTAAATTACCTGCATCTAGTCTATTTTTCTGGGGTGTTGGCTGCAATTAGCTTGTAGGAATTAGCTTTTAATACAGCATGGATGTCTTAAGGGGCCAAACCATGCCATTAAAGAGGTTATGATGCCAGAATGCCTTGCAGCCTTGCTCACTGACACTCAGTATACCTAGGAATAGAAGTTTCTTTGCCCTAGGTCGCTAGTGCCATAGCAGAGAACTGACAGAGCTCTCTAAGGACGTAAAGTATTTATAACTCTTATAGTATTTCTGCAAGGTGAGCTTTGCTGCCAGAAGCCTGAATTGGGGCTGCTAAGTCTGTAGGCAGAGAAGTCCAGTACAGCTGCTGTAGGCTGCTGGGGGAGACAGTTCTTACTGTGGAGAGATAGGAACTCAGGTGTCCTAGAGCACACAAAGCAGATCTTTGCGTCAGAGGACACAAAGGAGAAAGGCTGGAGAGGAGATTTATCAGGCTGCCTTCTTTGCCTTGTTTTTGATATTTTGCAAAGGAGTCATTGAGACCTTTTAAAAAACAGATTTATTGAGGTATAATTTGCATACCATAAACTTCACCTGTTTTAAGTGAACAATTCAATGAGGTTTCATAAATTTGCAGAGCTGTGCAGCCATTACCACAATCCAGTTTTAGAATATTTCCATCATCCCCCAGAAATCCCTTGTACCTATTTGCAGTTAGTTCCTGCTTCCAGCCCCAGATCCAGGCAACCAGGAATCTGCATTCAGTTTCTATAGTTCTGTTGTTATTGCATGTTTCATATAAATGAAATCATACGATATGTAGTATTTTGTGTCTGGCTTCTTTAATATTCCTGAGGCCATTCATGTTGTAGCATGTATCGTATTTTTTTCCCTGAATTGTTCATTGTGTGGATATGTCACATTTTATTTATTTATTTGACAGTTGGTGGGCGTTTGGATTATTCCTACTTTTTCGCTATTGTAAATAATGCTGCTATGAACATTGTGTACAGGTTTTTGTGTGTACATATGCTGTCATTTCTCTTGGATAAATAGCTAGGGGTGAACTCACTAGGTTGTATGGTAAATTTATATTTCAGAAACAGCCAAATTGTTTCCCAAAGTGGCCATAGTATTTTGTATTCTCACTATAATGCATAAGGTTTCCAACTTCTCTACATCCTCACCAACTCTTATTATTGTCTGCTTTCTGATTCTAATGGGTGTACAGTGGTATCTTCTGGTTTTAATTTACATT